CTCCGCCTCGTGTCCCAATCGTTCACAAGCTGCTTTTGCTCTCGAAAAGGAAACCACTGTTACGAAGGCTATACGATTTTCAAGAAACACGTGATAAGGAAAAATAGAGTGTCACTTTGTCTCAGTTTCATGGTATTTAGCACTGCTGTGCTAATTGAACACTATAGATGAAGGAACAAATATTGTACATAGGACTGAAACTTGTTTAATATCCCATCTGGTTGGAGGCTGACCATAACAGTTGGCTGTTTACAAGATGTGGAGAATTTGAGGTCAGGACCACCGAACACAAGTGCATCTAGTGGCAGGGAGGAAGATTTAAAACTGAGACCTCCCTAACCAAGCCGCCTCCACATATCGAATTTCAAAAAATGTAGGCGCATTGGCGGTATTTACCTAGGAAGACTAAAAATGCGTCCTAGACGTACAATGCATTTAGTGAATACGGAAACAGGACGCATTAAACGTCAGACGAACCCAACAATATCATGCGTCTGGAAGACTCATGAAACGGACACTTATACTTCTCAGACGAATAATACGAGACGCATAAAACAAACTAACTTGACTGAATTGGAAATCTACCCCACTCCCCATAACATTTTTTTCTTGTTTGCCTCGTGCCCTAATCGTTCACAAGCTGCTTGTGCTCTCGAATAGGAAACAACTGCTAAGAAGGCTATATGATTTTAAAGAAACACGTGATACATGCGATTAAATTGAATTTTTTCAAAAATGGTAAGCGTTTTGGCCGTATTTGCCTAAGAAGACAGGGAATAAAGCGTTTTAGACGGATAAAGCGTTTAGTTAATACGGAAATAGGCTGCATTAAACGTCAGATGAACTCTGAACAATTTTATGCGTCTGAAAGACGCATGAAACGGAGACATTATTCGAGGAAAATAAAACAAACGAACTTCACTGAATGTAAGGCCCCTTGAAACCCCAAAGGTAGCATCATAGCACTGGTTGGGGGTACACGGTCCCCGTTTTCCACCCGGTGGTTTTTAGGGGTTTACGTGTCCGGCTGTGGTGCATGGAGATTTTTATTTTTAAAAACTAATTACTATTTTACATGTAGCCAATGGGCACTTGTATCACCCATGCACCCATATGGGTGTAGTGAAGGCAAAACGGGCCTTTTGAAGGCACCCGAAAGAAATAGGCATAACTTTGTGAATTTTCATTGAATTTCAATCAAATTTTCAGGAAATATAGAGTATTT